ATTGAGGTCCATATACTGAAGTGTTAAGAAGAGAGTCTATTTCTTTCTTTTTTTCTTTTTTTTTTAATATATTTTTATTGATGTCAGAGAGGAAGGGAGAGGGAGAGAGAGAGAGAAACATCAATGATGAGAGAGAATCATGGGTTGTCTGCCTCCTGCAGGCACCCACTGGGGACTGAGCCCGCAACCTGGACATGTACCCCTGACCGGAACCGAACCCGGAACCCTTCAGTCCACAGGCCCACACTCTATCCACTGAGCCAATCAGCCAGGGCTATTTCTCTTTTAAATGTATTTAAAAAAAAAATTGATTTCAGAGAGGAAGGAAGAGAGATAGAAACATCAACGATGAGAAAGAATCGTTGATCGGCTGCCTCCTGCATGCCCCACACTGGGGATCAAGCCCACAACCCAGGCATGTATGTGCCCTGACTGGGAATCAAACTGTGACCTCCTTCCTGGTTCCTAGGTCAACGCTCAACCACTGAGCCAGGCTGACCTGGGTGAAAGTCTGTTTCTGTGAACGAACAGTTTCCTCTTCTCCTTAGATTAGAGCAGTCATTCATTCACTCGTTTATTCATCCATTCCTCCCCCTTTCCATTATCTGGGTGCCTACAGGAGGGCTCCCACGTGGGCAATGCTTAGGAGAGGAACATCCAAATGATTTTCACCAAGCCAGCACCATCTCAGCTCATTACGTAACAGCGCTGATGAGAAGAGAATCCGCTTCCATTTTTTTAAAAAATATACTTTATTGATTTTTTTCAGAGAGGAAGAGAGAGGGATAGAGAGCTAGAAACATCGATGAGAGAGAAACATCGATCCGTTGCCTCCTGCACACCCCCTACCGGGGATGTGCCCACAACCCAGATACATGCCCTTGACCGGAATTGAACCTGGGACCCTTCAGTCCGCAGACCGAGGCTCTATCCACTGAGCCAAACCGGTTTAGGCCGCTTCCATGGTTTACTGCCTCCGTCCACTCTCACGTGTGCCCTAGGAAGGGGAGGGATGAGGTGGAGGAAAGAGAAACATGGGCCAATGACGGGAAATTCTGGTTCAAGCTCCCGTTCTATCTACCGCAGAGGGGCTGAGGGATTCTGGGTAGTTGACTTAACCTCCCTGGGCCTCGCTTTGCTTTCCTTTCCCGGACTATGCGTGGGCCAGACCTCAGATTCCTCCCGTCTCTCGAATTCTCCCATCCTATGTGGGGCACACATTCCACTGCGTTCCCTCTGTGGCCAGAATAAGCCTGTGATGTATTCCCTCCAGCGTCCCCTGGCCCGCTCCGGCTGCTGAACCAAATATGACCAAGAAAGAAGCAGGAACATTTGGTGGCGGGCACAGCCCAGAAGGCACACAGGATGGAGGTCAAGGCCACCCGTGGCAGCCTCTCAACCCAAGGGCGACGGCATGACCAACTCACTTGTGAGCTGGCGGGCGGCCGTCCAGAAGGATGGAAATGGCTGTCGGCAGGGCCAACATTCTTGGCTGGTACGCTTTTTTTTTTTTTTTTTTTAAATAAACAGCGAAAAGAGGAACAGCCTTTTCCACGTGGATGGCTTAATTTGGTTCCCGTACCGCCGGAACACGTGCTGTTGGGGTAAAAGATGATGTGATGGAGCACGCATTTAGCGCAGGATGGATTAACGCGCCCCAATAAATGAGAAAGTGGTCTGTGCAGTCACCGGTTAGGAATTTTTATCCTCGCCGCTCGCCTCTGCCAGGGGATGGTTGGGAGTCATTAGAGCAACATTTCCACCCCGTCTGGCCCCTGGTCAGAGTTTTCCCTGAAACATAAGCTCTCTGCCGGATCCGCTGTATCGCTATGAATGGACGAAGGCAAACGGGTGAGCCGGCTGTGTCTTCTTTCTGAATCCTTTTCCAAGAGGGTTCCATATGTCTGATTATTACTTTTCCAAGAAAGAAAGAAAGAAAAAAGCCTCCGCAGCAAATGTTCTTCGGTTCATGTGGAGAAGAAGTGAGGTGCATGTTTTGTTTTGTTTTTTTAAAAATATATATTTTATTGATTTTTTACAGAGAGGAAGGGAGAGGGAGAGAGAGCTAGAAACATCGATGAGAGAGAAACAGCGACCAGCTGCCTCCTGCACACACCGCACCAGGGATGTGCCCGCAACCAAGGTACGTGCCCTCGACCGGAATCGAACCCGGGACCCTTCAGTCCGCAGACCGACGCTCTATCCACTGAGCCACACTGGTTTCGGCGAGGTGCATGTGATATAATGATAGTGTCATCATGCGAAGACAATGAACCTTATGCTAGTAGTTACTAGAGGCCCGCTGCTTGAAATTCATGCAAAGAGGAGTAGGCCTTCCTGCCTTAACCGGTTTGCTCAGTGGATAGAGCGTCGGCCTGCGGACTCAAGGTCCCAGGTTCGATTCTGGTCAAGGGCATGGACCTTGGTCGTGGGCACATCCCCAGTAGGGAGCACGCAGGAGGCAACTGATTGATGTTTCTCTCTTATCGATGTTTCTAACTCTCACTCTCCCTTCATCTCTGTAAAAAAAATCAATAAAATATATTTTAAAAAATTAAAAGAGAGTAGGCCTTTCTTCCCCCGGCTGCTAGCACCCACTTCCCACCAGCACCCAGCCCTGGCACCCGGGACTCAGGCTAATTAGCATATTCCGTTTTTATCATGGCGGATGATTTGTTTTCACCATGCCTTGCATGAACTCACCAGTCCTTGGCTCTCTATTCCCCTGTCTCCACTTGTTCTAGGGTAGGGGTGTCGAACTCAATCAGAGAAGGGGCCAAAATCTAAAATCCAGCCTAAGTCGCGGGCCAAATGGTTTACTGAACAGTCATAAACTGTCATTGTGATGGAAACGCAGCGGAGTGCAGTGATGACAGCGCGGTGCGGGCCACATTGCAAGGCCTGGCGGGACGGATTTGGCCCGCAGGCCTTGTGTTTGACACATGTGTTCTATGGCAACAAGGGCATTCTCTTGGCAAAGGTGTTCTCACTCAGGTGCTCGGAGCTTCTGGAACAGGAGACGTGGTGATGGGGAGCGGTAATTAGCCAGCGTGGGTGGCAATTAGCGTTTTCAAAGTGCACCCTGTTTCGGCGGAGGCCACCCCAGTTCTGCGGGACTGGCTGTCGGTCTGGCCCGGCCGCAGGTTCCAAAGAGAAAAAAGAAAAACTCACCATGGAGTCTGAGACCAGGAGAAGCTTTTTATAGTGAAAACTGGGCCACCCGGGCCTATTATAGACCAGCCGGCCGGGCATGGACCAGGCAGGACTCTGTGGAGCTCACTCCTTTTCCTTCTGGAAGGAGACACATGATCTCCTCCGTCATAACTATAATTTGAACGGTACACCCCTCCACCTTCAAATAAAGCCCCATAAAACTTCTTCTGCCTGGAGCTGCTCCTGGCGTCCTTGGCTAGCTCCTCCACTTCGGGTGAGATCCTCCAGGAACAGGAGAACCCAGCCACAGACCTTTCTCCAGCCTCGTCATCCTTTTTTATTTTTATTTTATAGAAAACGCAGTCCCTTCCTTGCCTGCTCAGGATCACGAGGAAGAGCCTGCGGCCTGTCCTCCCATTGCACATTTTTATGACAGGATTGCATTTGCTTTTGGGCATTGGAAACCTCCCCCAGCTGTGCCTTCTGGCTTCCCAGACCCCCCCCCCCTGACCCCCCTCCCCATTCGACCCGAGATGGATTGGCGTCGCCAGCATGTGCCACCGTTTTATACTTTTTTTTATTTATTTTTATTTTTTTAAAGGAGGTGATTTCAAGGCGGAACGTGAGGATGTGAATGGCGGAGAAGGGATCTCTCCCTCCCCGCCCCCGGCAGGAATTCCCTTCTCGCTGGTGACGAGGGCAGAGGGGGTTTCGCGGCGGCTGCGTGTCCCCCACCCCGCGCCCCGCGCGCCCGGGATGAGGTCATCGCTCTCCACAGGGGCCTCCCGGGAGCGCGCAGGGGGGAGTCCTCGGCTGGAAGGGGGCGCAGCGAACAATGCCGACCCCAGTGTCCATGTGCACCCCCTCCCCGCCCCGGGGGGATGCCCGGGGCCCCCGGAGTCCCCCGTTATGCGTCCCGATCGCCGCCTCGGGGCTCCCCACACCGGTGCCCAGAGGTCCCTGCGTCCCGGCCACAGCGGGGGAAATGGGGGTGCGAGGAACCTCGGCGGAGGGAGGGGAGGGGACACGGCCCGATCCCGGGGCTGCAGGAGGCTGAGGGGGCGGCCCGATCCCGGGGGGCTGCGGGGGGGTCCGAGGGGCTGCGGGAGGCTGCGGGGGGCTGTGGGGGGGTCCGAGGGGCTGCGGGGGGCTGCGGGGGGCTGCGGGGGGGTCCGAGGGGCTGCGGGGGGCTGCAGGGGGCGGGCTGCGGGGGGCTGCGGGGGGCTGCGGGGGGCTGCAGGGGGCGGGCTGGGGAAGCAACAAAGAGCCCTGCCGCCCGCCCCGCCCGCGCTCCCTCCGCAGTCCGCGGGGCCGGCCGCCGGCGGGTGGGGAGCGCCCGGCCCCTCCCCGCGCCCCGCCCGCCCCCGCGCCCCGGGGGGAGGAGGGGGAGGAGGGGGAGGAGGGGGAGGAGAGACAGGGGGAGGAGGGGGAAGACGGGGAGGAGGGGGAAGACGGGGAGGAGGGGAGTAGAAGGGGGAGGAGGGGGGAGAAGAAGGGGGAGGAGGGGGAAGACGGAGAGGGGGAGGAGGGGGAGGGGGGGGAGAGGGAGGAGGGGGAGGAGGGGGAGGGGGGCAGAGGGAGGAGGGGGAGGAGGGGGGGGGGCAGAGGGAGGAGGGGGAGGAGGAGGAGAAGGAGGAGGGAGGAGGGGGAGGAGAAGGAGGAAGAGGGGGAGGAGGAGGGGGAGGAGGAGGGAGAGGGGGGAGGCGGCGCCTGCGTGCTCCTCGCGCCCCGCCCCCCGGGCTCCCGGCGGCGGACGGCGCTCCCGGCTCCGCTCCCCCCGCGGCGGCCGGTGCGCACGGCCTGGGAGGCGGGCTCCCTGCGGGCGGCGAGGAGCCCGGCGGCGGCGGGCGAAGCGGAGGCGGCGGCGGAGGAGGAGGACCGGGAGGAGGAGGAGGACCGGGAGGAGGAGGACCCGGAGGACCGGGAGGATCGGGAGGACCCGGAGGACCGGGAGGAGGACGAGGCTGAGGAGCAGGCGCACGGCCGCCCGGGACGGAGCGCGGCCCGGCCCCCGCCTGGCCCGGCGGCGCGGCGGACATGGAGTAGCCGCGGCCGGAGCCCCAGCCGCCGCCGCCGTCCCCGCCGGAGCCCGGCCCTCCGCGTCCCCGGCCGCCGGAGCCCGCCGGCGCCATGAGGTGAGGGGCCGGGGCCGGGCGGGGGCCATTGTGCCGGGGCCGCCGCTCGGACCCGCCTTCCCTTCCCTCCCCGCGCCCGGGCCGCGCGCCCTCCTCCTTTGTCCCTTCCCCGCTCCCTCTCTCCCTCTCTCCCTCGTGGGGCGGTGGTGGGGGCCGGAGATGTGCGGACGGGAGGGTCTCTGTGCGGCTTCCCCCCCCTCCCGTGGGTGCCCCCCTGTGTGCCCCCCTCTCCCCTGGGTGCCCCCCTGGGTGCCCCCCTCTCCCCTGGGTGCCCCCCTGGGTGCCCCCCCTCCCCTGGGTGCCCTTCTGGGTGCCCCCCTCTCCCCTGGGTACTCCCCTCTCCCCTGGGTGCCCTTCTGGGTGCCCCCCCTTCCCTGGGTGCCCCCCCTCCCCTGGGTGCCCCCCTGGGTGCCCCCCCTCCCCTGGGTGCCCCCCTCTCCCCTGGGTGCCCCCTGGGTGCCCCCCTGGCGCCCGGGGTTCCCCGGCCGCACTCCGGTGCGCGCCCGGCTCCCCGCCCCCGCGCGGCCGGCCCTCCCCACCGGGGCGCGCAGGGGGGGGGGGGGTTCCCGGGAGCAGGTCTTTCCCCCCAAATCTGCACCCCCAGCCCCCCTGCACTCCGAGAGCCCGGCTCCGGCGTTTCCTTTAAAACGGAGGGAAAGTTGGGGAGGCCCGGGATCTCCGCTGCGGGATGGAGCGGCCCGGGGGGCCATTTCCCGATGGGGAGGGCGGGGGAAGGGGGAGAAGGTTTATGGGGGGCCCTAGAAGGCCGGGACAAGTTAGTTGTTTGGGGGCGTGTGTGAATGGGGGCGGCGGGGGTTTGTTTGCAAAAAAAACCACACACACACACACACACACACACACACACACACACACAAAAACCCTTCCTCCCCTCCCCTCCCCTCCCCTCCCCGCCTCTGGGGCAGCCCTTGTTGCAATGCAGCAGCAGCTGCTCCCTTCCCCCCTGCGCCCCCCAAACTCCTCTGTGATCAATGCGACCAGCTGAACGTGCTCACCCCCCAAGGCGGGGCTGATGGACCTGTTTCTTGGCTGCCTGTGGTGTGACATGTTCCTTTCTGTTGTCCTTGTCTCTCCAGTGGCGTTTGGGGGGGATACGCTGTGGTGGGGGGGTGTCCTTTATTGAGGCCCCCCCCACACCTCCCACCCCCCAGGCATTGGTGTGCCCATCACCTCCTTCCTTTGGGGCTTGGTGAGACCTGGGACCAGGTGAGCCTGGGCCGGTCCCGTTCTGCGCGATCATCCTCCAGGCCCTGCCAGCCTCTCTGGGTTGATTGTGTGGATTGTGTGGATCCCGGCCCCTGAGCTCCTCCATGTCTGCGCCCTGGGAGGGATCGTCTTACCCGGCCCCTCTGGATGGGAGTCTCTCCTTTGTGTGCAAGATGAATGGCTGACGATGAATGCCAAGACCACCTCCCTCATGTCATGCGATGAACATGCGAATGGTAGACCTGACCGGTGCCTTCGGCCCCGGCGAGAAAATGTCATGTCATCGGAATTCTTTCTCCCATGAAGTCGGTTCCCCTTTAACGTGTGTGTGTGTGTGTGTGTCACGGTGGAACACTGTCTCGTGTCTTTAAAATACGTTTTGTTTTGTGTATGTGTGTGATATAGCCGTCTGTGTACCTCGGTGTAATGTCAATTTGAATTCATGTTCTTCTCTGATTTCCAAGTCCTATAGGTCTTTAGCGCGTGGCCTTAAAAACTGTTAAGATGCTGTGTCTCTAAGCGACTCCCTTCTCCTCCGGGATTCCACATGCGTTATTTAAAAATGTGATGGATCCGTTTAAAAATAGGATTCTGACATACAAACCAACACCGAATATATCTATCTATCTATATATATACGTGTATGTATCTATATATCTATATATCTATATATATATATATGTATCTTTGTAAAATACAGCTTGGAAAACTTGAGCTATTCGTTTTTTCTTTTCTTTTTATTTTTTTAAGATCAAGTTCCTAATGTCATTGAAAACTCAGAAACTACAGTAAGATACATGCTGTGTTGTGCCTTACTCTGCACCGCTCATTTCTCCTTTTAGAATGTAATGTTCTCGGAGTCTTATAGATCAGAAGCCATTGTGTTTTTTTGTTGTTTGTTTTTCCGCCCCAAAAAAACTTTTGGGTCAACTTATTTCAATCCCCGAGCAACATAAAACTGAGTGAAACAGGGATATTTGGAAAGAAAATGATGGTGAGGTTTTCTAATTAAAAAAAAAAAGTTGCCAGGACTGGGTTGGCTCAGTGGATAGAGCGTCAGCCTGCGGACTGAAAGGTCCCGGGTTCGATTCCGGTCAAGGGCATGTACCTTGGTTGCAGGCACATCCCCAGTGGGGGGTGTGCAAGAGGCAGCTGGTCGATGTTTCTCTCTCATCGACGTTTCTAACTCTCTGTCCCTCTCAATTCCTCTCTATATAAAATCAATAAACTATATTAAAAAAAAAAAGTTCCAGTGTAGAGAGTATTCAGGAAAGTGTGTGATCTCCCTATCTACCTGTCACAGGTAAATTATGTTTTTATTGAAGAGTGCCTTTCCTGATAAAAAGGGACGTACTTTTTTCTGCTCTTTTCCTGATTGGATGCAGAGAGGGAGGGTTCCTGAGGATGCTTCCCAGGAGCATATAAATGCAGGTAGAACGCGCTGGTCCACAGGCCCAGTCCGCAGTCATGCTTTGCAGGTGAATTCTGAATAATTTACAAGCAGGACTGGATGAGCTGTTCGCCTCGGAAGGCATTGGGTCCCTCGGTAGGCGGTGTGTGGAAGGCGTGTATGTACACGTGTTCTCTCGGTTATCCGTGAGCGTAGGCTGGTCTGGTTTGGGGGGTCAGGGCTGTCTTGGGCTGAGATTGCCGGGATGTTTTGGTGCCGTGGGCTTTTGAGGTTATATTAATATTTATTTGGCTTTGTCTCCAGGATGTCGCAGGACGTAACGGCTATACTATTCAATCGGGCCTATTTTAGTTTTATTAAGGAGTAAGTTCTGATGTTTTCAAGGCCACCCAGAAATAGGAGTGCCTAGCCAAAACCGGTGTGGCTCAGTGGATAGAGCATCGGCCTGTGGACTGAAAGGTCCCAGGTTCGATTCCGGTCAAGGGCCTGTACCTTGGTTGCGAGCACATTCCCAGTAGGGGGTGTGCAAGAGGCAGCTGATGGATGATTCTCTCTCATCGATGTTCCTAACTCTATCCCTCTCTCTTCCTCTCTGTGAAAAACTCAATAAAATATATTAAGGAAAAAAAGAAAAAGAAAAAAGAAATAGGTAGGAATTTCCACTTAAGCTGGTCAGGGTTTTCTGCAGAGAGGACGTGGTGAACACCCGTATTTTCCGGCGTATAAGACGACCCCCTAATATTTTTTTACAGTTAAAACATAGGTTTAGGCCTATATTCGCTGTATAAGACTCCCCCCCACTTCAAAGGAAAGACTTACTTTGCCGTCAAGATCTGCAGGTAATTTTTGTGCAGTTTTGGTCTTTTGCCCCTGATTTTCGGTTGACTTTTTTTTTTTTCGTTTCAAAAGTCGTCTTCTATGCCGGAAGATACGGTACGATACAGTTTAAGAAGTGGCAGATAAGATCTCTTAGACGGCTTTTAATTTTAGGAATAGCGTGCCTGCCGAGATGCAGTGTAATAATTAATCCCCGCACAGAGGGGACGTGAATCATCGTTCTCCACGTTACAGCCTGAGAGGCATTCTCCACGCGGTGAAAGCAGCGCATGGGATGGGATTCCTTCTTAACGCGCTGCCTAAAGACAGATGAGAATGGGAAGAATGAGAAGGTGCATTTGGTAGACAGAATAGTGGAAGGGTTGAGAGCCCTCCACACCGGTATTTTTAGTGGAACATCCCACGTTTTGGTGTATTCCTTTTAAATAATTGCTTTTAAAAGAAACACACACACACACACACAAAACAACTAAGTGGTTAGTTACTCAAGTTTTTATTTTTTTAATAGAAAGAGGAGCTTGTTTGATCTGACACAGTTGCGTGTGGCTAAGAGGAGCTCGGGATGTTGGGTGGACATTCTCGGGTCCATATTCCATAGTCCGAGCCGAAACCGGTGTGGCTCAGTGGATAGAGCATCGGTCTGCAGACTGAAAGGTCCAGGGTTCGATTCCGGTCAAGGGCATGTGCCTTGGTGGAGGGCACATCCCCAGTGGGGGGTGTGCAAGAGGTAGCTGATCGATGATTCTCTCTCATTGATGTGTCTAACCCTCTATCTCTCTCTCTTGCTCTCTGTAAAAAAATCAATAAAATATATATTTTTTAAAAATAGTCCGGGATGTCACTCCCTGCCCGGTGACGGTCTCATGTAAAAAGCTGTAGGGTTGTGAGGACAATGCATCCAGGCCTCTTCCTCGCCGCATGACCTTGAGCTGATCACACCATTTCACTGATTCATCACTTAAACCAGTGGTCGGCAAACCGCGGCTCTCGAGCCACCTGCAGCTCGTTGGCCCCTTGAGGTTTTAGCGTAGGCCAGCTTAGGAGTCCCCTCATTATGTTCATCACAATGTACCTCCCTAGATACAGTAGTTTTAAGTTTAGAAATTTTGGCTCCCAAAAGAAATGTCAGTCGTTGCACTGTTGATATTTGGCTCTGTGGACCGATGAGTTTGCCGACCACTGGTTTACACGATGTGAAAACGGATAATTTTTTACTGGGCAGTGAGTCAGTCGCTCATAGGAGAGAAGGGGCTTTGGACACTTGTGCCCAACAGTTGTGTTCCTCTTCTTACGTTGAGGCTGAATGATCTAAAACTTGTGGGCAGTTGGCGTCATCTTTCCGGGCCTCACATATTCCAGAACGGCAGCAGGTGACATTTCGTGTTCCGAGCCCCGTTGGAAGCGATGGTGCAGACATCCTGGTGGAGGCATTTGTGGGCGCGGTGGGGCGGCGTGCCACGATTAGTGAGTCGTGTTTGACGGGACGTGGGTCCCAGGGGCCTTGATGGGGAGTGTTCCCTGGCATGCT